AGTGAAGGCCTTTCCGTGCTCAGAGGTGAGAAAACCTGGGCAGCCAGAGAGACTATCTCCTCAAAGACCCAGGTCTTAAGCAATGAATCACACTTCCAAAGGGCTGCTAACAAGTCCTATCCTTCACTAGCTCATCAAAGCTTCCACAAAGTGCAGTATTTCTTAAAATACTAACCAGAAAAGTTTGTCTGAAAGAGCCATGAACTTTTCCTCACATAAGAAAATGTAAGAAGATATCTACACGAGGAAACTGCTAACCACATACATTGCTGGTCGATGCTAAATAAAATTCAAGCATAAATGCATCTCCCATCTGTAAGTGCCATCCTTTCCCACATGGCCCCTTCGAGCTTAGTGGCCCAACACTAGTGCTATGACCGAATGCCCAGGCTCAATCTAGCACTCAAGAAAGGTTCAACCATCTTACTCTGAAAATACTTCAGGAAAAATTGCTTTTTAAACATGTTTGGGCCTTTAAGACAACAGCTCAAGTCCCTTCTTAAAAGGTGAGCCTGAAAAGGGAATGGATTCTTTCCTATCTTTAGCACAAAAAGTGAAAACAATTAAATGTAAATTATTCAAAAATCTATCACCCAGAGATAACTAATATTATTATTTTGGTGTATAACTTCTAGAGTTTTCCTAGACAAATATATTCACAAAACTCTTTTTTAATAAAATGGGACCATACTCTACACACTGTTTTATAGTCTGCTCTTTTCCTATAGTAATACACTTATTTTCCTATGTCAATAAATCCATAGCTACACCATCATTTTTCTAACAGAATATCCAATTATCTGGTTGTACTCTTGATTAAAAAAAAAAATCACCTCCTGTGGGACTTTTGCTTTCAGTATCTTGCTATAATCCTGGAATGACTACCTCTGTCCCTAAGTCCTTCCCAAAGTTTCCTAATTTTTTTTCCTTAGAATAAATTCTAAGAAGTGGAATTGTGCTCTGGCCAGTAGCTCAGTTGGTTAGAATGGTGTCTTGATATATCAAGGTTTTGGGTTCAATCCCCAGTCAGGGCACATACAAGAATCAACCAATGCAATGCATAAATAAGTGCAGCAACAGATGGGTGTTTCTCTCATTCTCTCTCCCTCCCTCTCAAATCAATAAAAAATAAAAAGTGGAATTGTTAGTGCTTTTAATGTTTCGGTTTCATTGCCAAACTTCCCTCCTTAAAGCCCATCTTGTCACCAGTGGCCATGAAAGCTGTTCCTCCACACAGAAGGGGGTGCAGAGCTGCTCCCAAACATACAGAGGAAGCCACCTACCCTCACTCACACCGTACCTGACAATGCCTCCAGACGGCAATGCTACCAGCACAAACTATCCCTTAATGAGTCTTGACTGTGAGCCAACAACTCAACACTATGGTCTATGCCAGGTGTTAGCTGTTTCTAATCTACCCCAATCCATTTGGATGGAAACCTGCCTTAACCACCCACTTTTGCTAACCAAAGTGCCAGTGGTGCAGGAAAATCTCTCTGTAGTCATAGTCTGTCTAATGTAAGGTAAGTCTGTCCATGAACATGCTCTACCCACACCCCATCCCCGCCAGGGTGCTGGTCCTCCATCTTCTAACCTCAGGATCAAACTCCAGCCCACCTTTCTTCAAAGCTGAGGTGTGCTGCCTTGAGCTCAGGTGGTTGTGGGCTTGCAGGGGAAAGAGAAAACCTGAGAGGAACTTACATAGAACTGAAAATGCAAGAAGTGAGCCAGCACTCGGGGGGCCACGGCGGGGAAGGTGGCCAGGAGTGTCTGGAGGTAGACCTCCAAATCCTTCTCCCTCTTTTCCACCAAGCTTCTTGAGTTTTTCCCAATTATCTTTTTGGGTGGAAGCAGATTTTTATCAATCTTCTTTTCTGCAACAAGCTGTAAAAAAACATAAGCATGTCAACCACAAACCAAGAGGTTCTGGTCTTTGCAAGATCAAGGCTAGCAGCCTGAAGGCAGATGCTTGTCTTGACTTCCACAGCCCCTCGTGGCAGCTGTACCATGATTAGTGATCAAAGCAGGGCACCTGGGCTTGGCCTCATCAAGCTTGTGAATATGAGAAACGCCAGCATAATCCCAAACAGGAAGCTCCATTTGGAGACATTTAGAAAAGGAGATCTCCAGACCCTTAAAATCACCATTTTCTCCAAACAAGAATGAAAACAATCAGGGTGGTGGCCTGTCTTTAAAACCCTCAGACTACAGATGACCCAGAGAAAGGCATCTCTTCCCAAAAGCAAAGGAAGACATGGAGTCACAGCCAGTTTTAAAGTACAGATTATGGAATAGCTATAGTCAGGTCAAGCAAGTTAAAACCTATTCCCTCGCCCAAGAAACTGTCCCGGCATCTCACATCTAAGCTAGGACTGGCTACCTTAAAACTAAAGTTCAAATATGCTCCTCACACACTGCCTTATGCTAGGGTTGAACTCCCAGGAGCCACCAGCTGTTTTGGCAATTAAATTAGTAAACTTGCTTATTAAAGAACACTATAGGCATGGAGTCTGTTTTGCCCTAAAACGAATCTGTGGCACAATGGGAACTTGGCCTAAAGTCCCCTAGCTCTCATTACCTTTTCATGGAGGTCATGGAAGTCGCTGTAGCGGTGCTTGACTGTCCATTCATGGTTGCCATCGGTGACCTGAATGATGTAAACCTAAAAGGGAAAGCAGGCAGCCCTTCCTGGTCAGTGACAGCAGAGTCCCGCCTCACCCCCATCAATAGCTGAGGGTCACCCAGACCCTCTCAACACCCCCCACCCCTGCAGCCAAAGCTAGGCTGCACCTGACTCTTGCTGCGAAGCAGCCCCCCTCCCCCCCACCCTCACAGACCCTCTCAACACCCCCCACCCCTGCAGCCAAAGCTAGGCTGCACCTGACTCTTGCTGCGAAGCAGCCCCCCTCCCCCCCCCAGCCTCAGCCTCCTCCATGGTCCCAGCACGATCTGGCAGGCACTCGGGGTAAGTCTGTGGCTCTACCCAACAGTGAGGAACAGAGAAGGAGACTATCGTATCAAGCCATCTCTTTAGTTTTTTGCCTCCATTCTCCAGATAATTCAAAGCCCAATCCAACCGGAGCTTCAGGTAAAGCCACCCGTTCCGAGGCAGAACAACACCAGGTCTGGCAGGGCCAGCTTTCCTACTGCATTTTTTCCCAGGTGCCCTGCCTATATCCTGGAAGCAAGCCTGTTTCCAATCTTTTCAGCTGGTTAACAGCTGTGGTTGCTGCTGCTGAATCAAGAGTCAAGGCACGAAGAAGCTGATGGGGATGGGGGCGGGGGCAGGTAAAGGAGTGGTGATGAATTATTAAGCCGTAACAGAAGGCAAAATGGCTTAGCGGTTAGGGGACTGGGCCTTGGAGTCAAGGAAGACGTGGATTCAAAACGTGCTCTGCCATTCCCTGGCTGTGACTTATGTATGAGTCACGTACATAAGTGACTGGGAGCTGAATTTTCACTGAGCCTCTGTTCCTCCATCTTAAAATCTATAGGTTTAAGGATCAAATAAGGTAGTCAAATAATATAAGGTAATGCATGAAAATGCTTTGCAGCAAGTGTTCAATGAAAAGGTAGGTATATTACGAATCAACTCAGCACACCTGGAGACAAAATGGTAGGCTAGGCCCGATCACCCACCTTGCCCACACCCATTCAAAGGAGGGGCTCGGCGCGGTGGAATAGAGAGCTTTTTGGGGCGCAGCCCAAGGGTGATGGCCGGCCAGCCATTGGCTTAGAGACCTCACCCGCACCCAGAGGAGGACCCCTAGTGCCCCGCCCCTCTCTGCAGCAAGCGGGGAAGGGGGAGGAGAAAATCTTCCGCTCAGCGAAGCCTCCATAGAGGAGAAGCCATTTCTCCAGGGCCGGCCTGTTGCTCCAGGATCCGCCCGCTGCCCCTCTTCCCAGCCTGGCAGCATCCCTCCCCTCCCTTCCGCCCAAAAAGGCAGAAAGAGCCAGAGGAATGGCCCTCAGGAGGCGGGCTAGGACGGAGGCCAAGGGGATGGGACCGAGGCAGGGCCGGAGCCCCCCACCCTGTGGGAACAAAGGACAGGAGGCGGGGAGGTGCTCCGTCACCCCCACCCCGGCAGCCTCCCAGGAGGGCCTCCAACTCCATCACAGTCGGGGACTCCCCCATTTCCTATCCCCCGTCTCTCCCACAGCCTCGGAGTGTGTGTGCGCGCGCGAGGGGATGGAGGTTGGGGGTGGGGTCGGGGCTTGCTGCCCAACTTGCTCCCAAGGCTATGAAGACCCTAAGGCTCCTGGGTCTCGCGTTTTCAGCCCTGAGCGACCCCTCAATCCCCCGTGTCCGGGTCCCAGCCCTCCCCCTTCCTCGTCCCTGCCAGACCCCCAGGACCTGGGGGCCCCGAACGCAACTCGTCCTCACCTGAGAGCAAATCCCAACTGCGACCCCTGGCTCCCCAGGCCAAGGCCCCGCCCCACTCCTTCAGGACCTGCAGGGTCCCCAATTCCACCCCTGGCCCCCCTCCCGAACCCCCTGGCCTATCCCCCTGGGATGGCGCCCCTCCAGGCCTGAGGCTCTAGAGACGCCTCTGCCTCATCTAGACCCCGATCCCCCCGCTCTCCCTCCCTTTACCCCTAGAGCCTCCCCAAACCGAGCCTCCCCTCCCGCACGCGCCCCTCCTCAAACCCCTCCTGGGGGTCCCTCCCTAGGCCCCTCCATCCCAGCCCTCCTCCACATCGTGGCCCCCACCCATTCTCCCCTGGTCGTCGCGCTTCTAGCGCGCGTGCGCAGGCCGCGCGGGCCTTTCCGCCTGCGCCGTGGGTACCTGCTTTGCGCCGTCGGTACTTGCTTTGCGCCATGCGTACCTGCTTTGCGCCCCTCGCAGCCAGGGAGAAGCTGGGGCCCGGGGCGGGGTGCTCTGGGCAATACGGTTTGATGCCCAGGAGGACAGAAGGCCTAGCACTTCCCTGGCTTCTAGCGCGCGTGCGCAGGCCGCGCGGGCCTTTCCGCCTGCGCCGTGGGTACCTGCTTTGCGCCGTCGGTACTTGCTTTGCGCCATGCGTACCTGCTTTGCGCCCCTCGCAGCCAGGGAGAAGCTGGGGCCCGGGGCGGGGTGCTCTGGGCAATACGGTTTGATGCCCAGGAGGACAGAAGGCCTAGCACTTCCCTGTCTCCCCGACGCAAGTACTGAGTCGCCTGGCCGCAGTTTCTCCCTCCGAAAAAGGGAAGACGCAATCGCCCCCCACCTGTAGGGCACGGAGCGGAGGGGAGAGTCGTGCTTAGAGCCCAAACAGTAACTGGGGGGCTGGTTCACCTCCTCAAGACTCCATGTCCTCTGTCATGGGCTACTGGAGAATTGAGAGGGTTAATTCAAGCAATGCCCCCGCTTGCAGGGCAGGGAGCAGGTGCGATTATGGGAACTCAGCATGGGGAGGGGGAGTGAAGACGGAGAGCAGGCATATGTGCTGTCCATGGGGCACGAGACTCCCCAGAGGTGTCCTGCCGGAGCTGAAAAGGGCGGCCGCCTGGCCCCGGACCCAGGAGCCACAGCGCTGGAACGGGAAGCACAGGCACAGAGAGCTCCGACCCAGGACGCGGCTCAGACCTAGGAGGAGGCGGTACCCCCGCTGGAGAGGGACAGGGAGCGTCTGGCACAGATGGGGCATCTGTAGGTGTGTTTGTTGGATGACTGCAGCGGACCACGCCCAGAGCTAGCGCTGCTCGGATGAGAGAAGAGGTCTGGGGGGTGGCTCCTCTGGCTCCACTGGCTGAAGGGCTCCCGACTACTCTGCCCTAAGGTGGGTCCACAGCACAGGACTCTGAGCTTAGCGTTGGAGGCTTCCTGTAGCAGGGCCCCTACTCCCTCCCAGGCCTCTCCTTGCACACGGCTGCCCCTACTGCAGAGAAGTTAAGCCGAGGCAGGGGCTGCCCAGTCAGCCAGCCTTTGGGCAAGTCATCACCCCTCTAGGAACCTCAGTTTCCTTATCTGAAAGGCGGGAGTAATATCGTCCATCTCCCTGATGGGAAGAGCTGCTGTGTATAGAGGCCTGGCCTGGGCCCCCACTGCTTTGTAGTTCCTGTCCTAGGCTCATGGTTTCATTCATTCAAGAAAACTTTCCAGAGCGTCCCCTGGGAAACAAAGGGTAGGAGACCTGGTCTTTACAGCCCTTCATCTTCCTGCCTCGGACAGAGGACACGGGGCTCAGGCCAGCCTGAGATCACCAGGGCTGGGGGAGGGGGGGAGGATGCTACGCGCAGGGGTGGGCTGGGCCCGGAATGCAGCGGGGCAGGGCTATTTAAGCTCGGGGCCTCCTGGCAACCCCAGCAGCCTGCCCTCTGAGCCGGCAGCATGGATGACATCTACAAGGCTGCGGTGAGGGACTGGGATGGGTGGGCCCTCTGGGGAGCCACTCCGCTCAGGGTGGGGGAACAAGGTCATCCCAGGGAAGTGGTGGGGACCCAGGAGGAGACCTACATGCTTTCAGCCCAGACCCTCAAGGGGATGCTGGGTCTGGTGTTCTAGGGTGTGGAAGGGGTGAGGGATTCAGGGATTGGAGAGTGGGTGGAGGAGGAGGTCACACCGTTCAGCACCATGTTTGCCTCTGTCTCCAAGTGCCTGTAGTCTGTGTCCCTATCTCTCGGCCATGCCTTTCTGCATTTGTGTCTGGATCTTTGCCTTTCTCAGCATCTGTCCATCTTTTTGTTCTGAGCTGTCTCTGATGGCCCAGAGACACCCATTTCTGTCCCTCAATTCTGCGTCTCACACTCTCATGACCCCCCAGCCCCCGCCAGCCCCTGGGCTGGCTGAAGATGCGGTGGAGGGGGTCATAGGGGTTGTGAGGAGGGGGCTGCATAGCTGAATCCTGAGCTGGGGAAGGGGCTTTAAAGTTTGGGACAGGCAAGGAAGGACTGGGCATCGGGGAGAGCCGGGAAGAAGGAACAGAAGCCGAAGCTTCCATCTGGCCTGGCAGGCTCAGGGCTCAGTGGCTTAGCCTGGGGTTAGGGCTGGAGAGTGGTCACCCCAGTCCCTGAAAGGTTCTGTGGTCACTGAGGGGCTTCAGATGCTATTCCATCTCAGTGCGGGGGTTAGTTTGCTGACCTCCCCATGCCCCAGGGACAAGGACATCTGACACAGGCAACTGTCTCCAAAGGAATCCTTCTCTCAGCCCCAGGATTGTGGCCCCACTGCTGGGCAGGGAGGGGCTACAGCTGGCTCGGGGTGCCCCTGCCTCGCCCACAGGAGTCCATGGAGCTGGGGGGAGCAGCCCTCTGCCCGTGTCCATACAAGGCCTGGCGGGGCTGGGGACTAATTTTGGCTCCTGAGGCACCAGCAGGCCAGGGGGCCAGATAACGCTGCCCCACCCCCTTGCATGCCAGAGTCCCCAGAACAATCACCAGGTTTAACTTTGTCCCCCGTTAAAAATAGCCCAGCGGCCACTCTGGTCAGGTTACAGTGAGTGGCTTTACCTGCCCCCACACTGGTGTTATTGTCTCAACCTGAGGGACAGCTGTCCCTGGGGCCACCCAGCTTAGGTTTCAGCAGGGAGGCTGATAGGGCATTGAGTGGTCACTGACTATTGTTACTCAGGGTCACCTTGGTCCTAGAGGGGGTGCCCACCTGCCACCCTGGCCCTGAGCCTACCCTCAGTGAGGCCAGCTGGGTCACCAAAGGGCTTTGGGGGCAGAAAGGAAGGACTGAGGTCTCAGTGACCTGGAAATGGCCTGCCTCTCCTGGCTTCACTTGTCCCACCTGTGAAATGGGTTGGTTTCCTCAACAGCAGCGAGAGCCTGAGCCTGCATCCTGAGACCTCTTTTCCTCTCTAGGTAGAGCAGCTGACAGAAGAGCAGAAAAATGGTGAGTTCCCCAACATGCATATAGGGGGGCAACAGGGCCGGGCTTGGGGAGCATGAGGACCCCAGGCTGGAAACCAGATGCTGGAGTCTCTCTTGCTGTGACCTCAGAGGTCTCAGAGGGAAGTGGGCAGGTTGGTAAGTGATCCCAGGGGTCTGGCCATCTGGGGTCCTGGCTGCTGAGCCCTGGCCATTCTACTCCCCGTCCCGCATCGGACGCAGAGTTCAAAGCAGCCTTTGACATCTTCGTGCTGGGCGCTGAGGACGGCTGCATCAGCACCAAGGAACTGGGCAAGGTGATGAGGATGCTGGGCCAGAACCCCACCCCGGAGGAGCTGCAGGAGATGATTGATGAGGTGGACGAGGATGGTAAGCCCCTCTGCCCCGCCAGGCCCCCGACCCATAGCTCCACAGGCCCCTGGGGATCCGAATCCTGGCTCTGCCACTTACTACTCTGTGCTCCTGAAGGAGCTGTTTAGCCTCTGAGCCTCAGTCGTCTCCTATATAAAATGGGTATAATGACCACCTTCCTCGTGGAGTTGATGGGTGGATGCAGTGAGAACACCGGGGTCTAGGGCCAAGGGCTATACCAGCTGTTCTGACTGTTCCTCTCTGATGGCCATGCCCTCCACCCCTCAGGAAGTGGCACAGTAGACTTCGAGGAGTTCCTGGTCATGATGGTTCGGTGCATGAAGGATGACAGTAAAGGGAAGTCTGAAGAGGAGCTATCTGATCTCTTTCGCATGTTTGACAAGTAAGTGTGTGACCCTTGACCTCTGACCCCAACGCTGATAGAGCTGGGGAAAGGGACAGTGTTATGGCCTCCAGGTCTCGGTCTCCCATTCTGTGCAATGAGGGAGTGGGGTACCTCATCCCCGCTCTGCCTGCCTCCCTCCCTGGGTCGTGGGTGGGGCTGCCTCTTCCCCTCCTTGGCCCCCACGAGCGGCCCTGAGACCTCCCCTGCCCCCACTCCCTGCAGAAACGCTGATGGCTACATTGACCTGGATGAGCTGAAGGTGATGCTTCAGGCTACTGGCGAGACCATCACAGAGGACGACATCGAGGAGCTCATGAAGGACGGCGACAAGAACAACGATGGCCGCATCGACTATGACGGTGAGGGGTGGTGCACTGGATCTCCCGCTGCCCACGCCCTGCGGCCCCCACCTCTGACCCACACCTGCCTTCTCTCCACAGAATTCCTGGAGTTTATGAAGGGAGTGGAGTAGATGCCGACCTTCGCCCAGAGCTGCAGTACCACCTTTCAACTCCCGCTGGGCCCTGGGGTGGAGCATGGGGCCAGGGTCCCCAGGATGTGATCCTGGCCGTGTCCTTGACTGAGGGTCCTCCCTGGCTCCCTCCCCAGCCCTGTCCTAGGGAATACAAATAAAACCCTGCTCCCTGGAGGCCTGGTGTCTGGCTTTCCTTCGGGGGAGAGGAGGACCTGTGGACATTTCCGCAGCCAGTGTTTACTCCTGCCCTGAGGACCACTTCCTTCCTATCCCAGAGCCCAGGCTCCAGCCACCCCTACACATTGCCTTCTGTAGGGGGTGTTAGGGTGGATCAGAGACTACCATGCTCTGTACCTCGCTGCCTCCTTTCTATAACTACTCATGCC